CAAGACCCAGGGGGTCTGATCCCCAAACCACCAGCCCAAAGCGCTAAAGAGGGGTGGAGCGACAGTGGATGGGCTGGCGTAATTCTTCAGCTGAAGCTCCGGCCATCCTTTGGTATCCGCCGGCATGCCCGGTTGTGTTTACACAGAAGGCAACATTGCCCATGCAGTTTGGCAAGATGCGACATGACAAAATGCTAAGTTTAACGTCCGCTTAACTTCAGCTTAACTGGTCGTGAGGGACTATTAAGAAGCTCAGCCCCCCGCCCTGCTGATGTGATCGGCAGCCCCAGCCAAGTGCTACATTTTCCCAAGCAAATGGGGCACATGGGGGATGTATTTCAGTGCTTGTCCATTTTTGGATTCCGTAAGATTGAGCATGGTGTCTCTAGTTGTACCAAACAGGTTGGTACATGCGATATTTGTTGGGAGTGGAACAGGGTGAAAACCCCCAAGATGTACGAGGCAATCTTTGAAATGAAGGATCCTCGTTTTACGTCTTGCAGTTTTTTTTACAGGACGCGAGCAGGTCTTGCAACGAAGGCCAAAACGAAGCCTAAACAAAGCCAATCTTCATGAACAATTTGGTTCTGTGAATATTGGCTTGTTTGGATTACCATGGATAAAATAGTCGGAAGACCACAGGAAGACTACGGGAAGACTAGAGGAAGACTACCGGAAGACTACGAGAGGATCACGGTAAGAGACTACAAAAATACATGATCCAAAACCCTCAAAAACGAAAGTGAGTCTTTAAAGCGAATGTTTCAGAGATATTCCAGTTTGGCACATAGGGGTTTTGGTGGCATCTCAGTTGGCGACTGTAGACTCGGGAGCTGCGTTTTTGGAGGCGTTTTGTAACCGCCTACCGAAAACCCAGAAAGCCTACTATAACCTGTGTGTCTCCCAAACTAGGGAACTCCATTTTGAAAACCTGCAGAACGGGGAACTGCAATTTTACTATGAAAAGGTGTTGACACTATTGAAAATAGTCACTTGGATAAATTCGGGCATGCTAAGACACAACACATACTATGTCTTCCTGGACTCAGGATCTAAGACTATCAGAAACTGATTCCTGAACACGCTTTTAGGACAAATGGGAAGGGATCCTACACGCATGCCAAGCGCCAGAAAACGACAGAATCTGATTTGTCCCTGGAATTGGTTTCAGCACATAAGGGCATCCCAAGAAGTGAGAGAAAGGATTGGGCGAAAGTGTGCGAATCCATCTTCATTATACTTCCAGGGAAAAGCGCAGTTCCAGGACAACCGTCTCGCGAAAGTGACTTGAACGTCTTCCCGAACCCACCACCGAGGGAGGAAACGTTCGTATGTGTGTATATGTATACATGCCCCATTAATCCAGGGTCTTTTGACCCAGTGTCCTCAGTACCAGTGCTGGCTTTGCCACCAAACACAGATCAGCTCAATGATGATGGACAACTCACAGTTTGTTGATCGACTTTCAGAAACTTGAGGCAGGTAATTGCAGGGATTTTCAGGCTTGGATTTTGAGTTCCCATGACAAAAAGGATCCTATGTTGGAAAGTAACATGTGCCAAAACCTTGACACTTCCTGCATGTGTGAAGGAATTATATCACTTTGACCAGCTTCCGGAGACTGCTTCGAGAAATGCGCACAACCAACAAAATGAACTAAGCCATTGACTCACCAATTCAAGACTCCGGAATCTGAGGAGGATTGCTGGGCAGTCGTGAATCTGATTTTTGGTCCTGCGACAACATGTTGGAATGCGTTTTGTTTGGGTGTCAAGGTTCTAGAGTCTGGCTATCCTCCCTGAGACGCGCTCCCAACATGGATGCTGCAATGGAGACTTGCCGGGCATCATGTTTGTTAGTAGTTGCAAGATTAAATGTAGACATAGAGACATCGTTTCAAACGTTCCTTCCCGCAGGGGCTCTGCGAATGCTGAAATGATCCAGTTGTTTTCCTTCAGAATGAAAAGCTTGTCGCTTGTTGGCCCATGGCATATGTTTTGTTTAGGTGAAAGGATCCACGTTTTCAGGCTTGGCCTGCATCCCTCCCCTTTCCCGGTATTCACGGAATGAAGTTGTTACCGCAAGCCAGCTCATTTCCTTATTCCACGTGGCTCGGCCCACCCGAGGGGCCGAGTCTTCGCTTTCCTGCTTGCTTCGCGCAGCGCGCGGGAAGGTGAACGCAGACAAGTTCGCAAAGGCGATCGGCTGCGAGAAGACCAAGCCGCCGAGCCTCGGCCCCGGAGCGGATCTAGGGATCTAGCGCAGCCAGCAGCCCGAGGGAGGCGCCATGTATCAACACCATCCGTGAATTCTCCCAACTCTGACAGCCACGTTCAGCTCTCTTATTCTTTGCTGCTTCGTCACTTCTGGCCTGAAAAGCCAACCACTTCCGCACACCCCAAGTCCAAGAGCCAAGGAGGAATGCCAACGATTCAGCTACCATATATCTATGCGTGTATATATATATATACACATGTATATCTTTGTGCATCTGCAAACATGTTTTTTCAGGCCTGCCCCCTTCGTTGCCCAAAGTGGCAGGCCCTCACCAACTACTTTGGCTGCTGAAGTGCAACGAAAAAAACAAGAAAACAAAACCATACACTTGTACGGGTCAGCATGTCCAATGCGACTGACTGGCAGTTTGGTTGATCAGTTCAGTGAGGGCACCTAATTTCTTTCTTGCGTTGAGCTGGGTTGGCCAAGTGGGAAAATGTAAAAGGCCGATCCTTCCGGGATGATCCTGGGTAATGCTACCCTCGAATTCATTAACCTGGGAAATTCTTGGGATTTGACACGCGGGAGGTTTTAGGGTGAAGTGTGGGGAAGCCTGTGCCTGCACCATTGTTTTTGATCGTGCAATATTTACACTTGAATACCTGCTGAATGGGGTCTATCCGGAGACAAGCCTGTTTGGTTCGGTGTTGAAATTGGTCTTGATTTTGTTCCGCAGCTTTTTGTCGAACAGGAGCCATTTCAAGCAGAAGGAGGTGTACGCTTTGCTTGCCAACAAGAGGGAGTAGTCAGTAGAAACATGGTGAGCAGAGACATGCGTTTCCCTAACTTCCATCGGATGTTCTCTGATGCTTTGCATAAGGATAGCGACATGAAAGCAACCAGCTAAAATTACCCCTCTGGACAGGCAATGCCCAAATGGCAATTTGACTTGGTAGTTTGGGGTTGCCTGCTGCATTTTTTGTCCAAGGTCAGACGGTCGATGTTGCCAAGATGGATGTGGACTCATCTTATGCAGGTCGGCAGCTGTCGGGTGGGGAGCACAAAGTGCAGCTCAAAATTCACCACAACCACAAGCAAGCGACAATCGTAACTGCAACCATCCGAAACAGCACTCAGTAAGGACACAATGCAATCCGCGAACCACGGCCAGCAGGATTCAGTAGGATTCAGTGGCTGGGACCTGAATGACCATGAACGGAGTGAACGGAATCAGGTGGACCACCCCACAACCCGAGGGCCCCTATTGGGACCTGGCTCCATGAATCCAGCACCCCAGGTTCGGGCAGGATAGCCCGCAGCTTCAGGTGCCAGCAGCATGATATTTGTTTCCAGGAGTAGTGACGACCGAACTCCCGATTCCCACTGAAGCTGTTCTTCTATCCGGTTATTGAGGATGATAGGTGGCCCATGTAAACCTTTATCATCATCTTGGCAGAACCAAGGGCAATCGTTGTTGGGCACGCCTCATCGGTTTGTGAACATAAACTTTTTTCACCATGAAAGGAATTCCAAAAGGAAAAGCGCCAACCAACATGGTCTGCCCACTTGGCATACTGAAGCATGCGCGCAAGTGCCAGTACGCCAGTGGGCCAGTGGGCCAGTGGGCCAGTGTGTCAGGGCCTGTCTACGACTCCGGCGCTTGCACCGCGGACTTTTGCAGAGCTCTCATGGAGCACCAGAGAAAGGCCGCCGTGTGTGTGTGTGTGTGTGTGTGTGTGTTTGGAGGTGGCTCGGGCCGTTGACTTCTGGGAGCGTGGTATGGTTGATGTGGTTTACATGCAATACTTAAAGTTTAGGAAGACAACCGTATCACTTGGCGATGTGAGATGGCATTTGCTGGGCCCTTAAATGACACCTTGAAACATTGATGGCACGAGTGGCACATGTCTTCCTCTGAGCAGCAAAGCGCAACGAGAGTGTCAACTTGTGCCACACCTGCTCCTGCATGCAACAGTGCATGGCAGAAGTGGGCGCTTTTCAACATAGCCGGCCCATACAAATGGTTGGTTTGCAGTCGGTTTTCTGCTTTAACCCCAACCAATGTTTGATAGACAGACATTGCAGCAATCCTTTCAGGGGACAAGAACCAGAGGACGAGAAACAACTAAGAGCGGCAGGGCGATTGGGGTTGAGGCGGAAAGCTTTACAACATATGGCAGTTTCCCGAATCGTACGAACCCGCTTTTTATGCCAGGTTTACCATAGAAAGGACCCTCGTTTGTACGGCCTTAAAAGGGAGGCAATGTAGAGCCAATCACTCAGAGAGGTCCCGATTTTCCCAGATTTCCTTGGAATGTGTTGGCAAATGGGTGGTGCTTTGAGGGTTCCCCGAATATGACACATGCCAAGATTCAAGCAAGGTGGGTGGTGAATTGTGGAGGGACAGTCCTTTCATTGTTGTCCGTCGTGAGGAGCTGGTTATCGCGAAGAAGTTCGCGTATCAGATTGCCTGGGACTTTGCAGCCATCGAGCATTCCAGCATTTCTGAAGAGCAGGTTGTGCTTGCCGACTTAAAGGCTCCTCACAATATTTTGCAGATGTGGCGAACTGCTGGTCGCCCTGGATGAACGACATTTGATTCTTTTGGCACGTGTCCCTTTCAGCGCGTGTCGCGTTGATAGAGTCTATTTCCGTGCAGGGGTCACGCAACCGCCATTCTGCTGGTGTTGTCAAAACCCGTTTTGAAGCGGGCATGCTCTGACAGACAAAGCAAACTGAGTGTCACACAAAGTATGATGTTTACACGCAGCTTTTCCTGTGCCTGATGGGGTATTTTTATCATGGCACCATGGCCTCTCCGAAGAATACCAAGAAGCCACACTGCTGCACAGCATCGTCAGCAGCACGTTGCCTTGAGCAGTTGCTGAATAGCCCTCCTGAATAGAGGTTTGCCGCTTGCTCAATTGACACCGCCAAAAAAATAGCCGGGCACCAAATTCACCAGGTGTTCAGCAAGGAAAGGGCCCACAACACCAAAAATGGTGTTTTGCCTTGCGGGTTTGTATCAGCACAATTCTCCTCTGAGAGCTTGGACTTTGCACCCTCCTATTATTGGACAAGGTTGATTAAATTCGGGTCCTGCGATACCGATACCCAATATTTTTCAGTTGAGCTTCAGAGGCTGCGCAACAGTGTGTTTTTAGAGCAAGCTTTGGCCTGTCAGCAAAGCAGGTAATTTTTGTTGATTGTTTTCTTGTTGCTGAGGTCTTGGACATGATCGAGATGTGCTGCCTGCTTCATTGACATCAACATTTGGTCGGAATGTAAGGGATGCTGACTTCCTGTACGCTCAGTAACCAGCGTCTCGCAAGCCATGCGTTGGAAAGCACACGAATATGCAGTGCACGCAGGGAGTCCGGGCTCCTTCAATCTGGAATTTGCTTCCCGACCTCTAGGTAGATTACTCAAGGCTGAGGACTGTGTCGGGCACGTCTTCGCTTCCAAACAAGCAAACATCCAGCTTATTCGATCCCTGTAAACATTTGCAAGATGTTCTTCACACAGAATGGGACCTCTAAAGATACCCAAGCTCATGTACAAGAAGCTTCCGCACGGCAGCGGAGCTGAAGCTTGAAAACAGAGAACCCCACTAGCATGCCTACTGAAAACATGGCATCGGGGGAGCAAATTTCGTTTGGGCTTCGTTTTTTGGCAATGGATTTCGCCTTGGGCATGGAACTGGGGGACCTTCACGCCCGAATTCCCTGCCCTGACACTAGGCCCTTTGGAACCAAGTCACACAGAGCACCCTCGGCTCAATGGGTTTCTGGATTTTGAGCCACATTGCTGTGCCACAGGCTGAGATACGGGAATTTGCAGAAACCCGGGCACGTATCAAATGTGTCATTGGGATCGAGTGTATTGGCAAATGTAAATCGCTGAGCCAGACAACGCTGACTGCAATCTTTTCCGTCTTGAGGCTCTTGTCTAAGACGGTTTCAAAACCACCACACCCAAGATGAGGGCTATGCACCCCAGTGTTGGGTACCCGTTCAATGGGTTCCTCTTAAACGGGTTCCAGCTTGCAAAGGACAATCATCTGTATGTGGCTGCCATTTGGAACCTCTTTGTTCGAATCCATCGAACGCGTCGCTGTAAAAGAGTGGTTTTTCCTCAAACCCGCGGCAGGTTGAAAGGTTCCAGCACGCTGGTAGACATCGAAGTGCCTGCCAACGGCGAGGCCGGGTCCCTCTCCTTTGCTTCAAGTGACGTAGGTGGTGGGCGCTGGGCCGACATTGTCAAAACTAATGGGAACCCTAAGAGTCATCACCCCCTTGTTGATTTTTTGTTTTGTCGCAGCTTTAGGAGAGGATCCTTCACTTTCGGGGGAACAGATTCATGCATTTGGGGTCGACATTAGGATCTCTTGGGCGCGACCAATGTGAGCTTTCTTGATACAGGCTGCTTTGCGGCTGGTTGCCACCAGGTTGCCACGCTTTGACTCCGGTCATGGAGCCCTGCCTTTGGCACTTTGCGGAAGGTTCATAACGCACTTGTTTGCACAAGAGGTGCCTTCTGCCCAGATTGGAATGGCAAACGCGTTGTTCTTCCAGCTTGGAATGATATGCGCATCGGCTGAGAACTAATCATGTTTCGCCGCATCGGACTGACAGTTGCATGGATGTTCCAGATTTGTGACGTTCGCATGTAACAGCTGCCTGGCAATCGCCTGGGTTTCTGAGCAACACAGAAAGCCACCTTGCGCCCTCATTTGCGAGCGGCTTCGTGCTCCAAACCTTTCGGCGAACCGCGCCAGGTCACAGTTTGTGGAGATGTTCATGGCCAGCCGTGGGCCAAAGCGAGTCGAGGTATGCGGATGTTGCGTTTTGTTCAGGCTTTGGGAGATGGTTCCTGAAAGAGAACGACTGCAAGCGTGAAGGGCGCCATCGAAATGGGTCAAACAGATTGCACAACATGAGCGGCAAGATCTTTTATGCGAGGAGCGGTCCCTCCTCTCCCACCCCTTGTGCATCAGCTATATACTGGAATCGGCCAGCAGATGGGAATCGGCCAGCAGATGGAAGCCATATGCCTCGCACAAAAGGTCTAGCTTTTCACGTAGGGCCGAAATCAGGCGCCCGTTGACTTTTATGTCAGTTTCTCCTCTGGAACCAACCTTTCCCTAAAAGGCTGCTTCGTTTTGACTCGGCATGTTCTCGCTGACAAGTTCTCTGTGTTCCATAGGCAATGTTTCTTGCCCTCTGCGCCTTTACGGAATTTCCATCGAGCCCTTGGGGGGTCACCACGTTGGCCTTGTTGGGTTCTTTGGTTTGAGTTTGCTTTGGGTGGAGTGGTATTTGAAGGACAGAAACTGCAAGGCACCCTGGAAGTCTTGAGGATGCTCTGGTTGAACACATCGCGTCCTTCGCGGGTAGTCCTTCCATGCAGATGGGCTGTTTTCTATATTCGCGAACTGCAGAGGACACTCAAGGAAGGACTAGCTGGCTCATCAGGGTGTGCAAAATTACGAGGTTCTATGATCTGCTCAACATCTTCAACATGAACGGTGTTCCGTCAGAGGCCGGCTTGTTGTCCTGCCTTTGGCTGAGAGTCAGGGGCGAGTTGGCCTCAACCCTGTCTGCGCGGCTTTCTAAAAGGGCTTTCCTGTTCAATTTCTAACATGGAAAATCAGTTTGAACGTGCAAGCACTCCAGCATACTTGTTCATCCCTGCAAAGGTGCGAACTTGACATCAAATTGGGGTCGCTAGCTTTCTTGAGGGTGGTAGTGGTCTCAGGCCTGCTTTTGTGGGGTAAGGTGCGAATGTTTACCCACTGCAGAGGGGAGGACAAAGGCACCGTACGAACCGGAACCGGCGGTTCACCAACATTGGCCGTGGCTCATGTGGCGCAGGGCCAGTATTCGAGACTGACACCTCCAGTTGCATGCTTCTCCGAGCATCAGATTCCAGGGCCCTCCACGCTTGGCATGTCAATGAAAGCAAGTGCTGGACTCATCTTTTCGTAGCCTAAGCTTAGCAATTCTCAGGCAGTGGGAAGATCACAAGGATGGCGGAGACAGTTTCCATAAAGGCACATAGCCCGGTCCGCAAAGCTTCCTGCTTTAGCTGCGGAAGTCACCGGATGTCCTCAAGGAGGCCGGATTTCCCTTTAATCTGGAGCAAACATTCCTGGGATCTTGAACCTGCAAACTAGTCTGCTTCGGTGAATCCTTCTCTTCGTTTGCGCAAGAATTCCATTTTCTGACCAGCATAGGCCAATGGTTCTTGAATTGTGCGGTCTGGGGAAGTCCCCTCTCCGCCCATGTCAGCATCTGGCAAGAGACGCCTGCCTTCCTCCAACAACGGGAGTTGACGATTGAAGAGGTTCAATCGACTACCGTTTTCTTGACCATGCAGGTCTACGGTTCATTTGGGCTGCCAGGCTTCACGCTTTTGACTGGAGCATGTCGGCGCTTTCGTATGCTGAATTTTCGTCATACCATGCGAAACGAGACAGCGAAACCCCAAAAGCAAGAACCAACTGGAAATGCCTGACACCAGATATGCCAGCAATTTGCACGTTTTTTGCCGCACAAGTCTTTGCTCTCTGCTATGTGCCCATTAGGCAATGCCTTGATGGGCAGATGCATGTAAAGCATGTGTCGCTTCATTGTTTGTGTACTTCCTCATGTGCGCGCTTCGCGGCATTTGCGATGGGGTCAAACCTGCTTGTCATTGATCGCTTCTCCTTCCAGACGCGACCTCTCATCAAATCATCTTCCAGCAACAGAGGGCACAAAGAGGCACGGGCGAAGAACATCTTGCAGGACCTTTTTCTGCAGATACTGAAGCTCATTGCCCTGGGAGGACAACCCGTACCTCTTCAACGGCGACTTTGTGGATCGAGGCTCCTTCTCGGTTGAGGCGCGTTCATGAAGCTGCGATTCCACAATGGGACACATGGAGTGGCGTCTGTTTTCTGGTTTCCTTCACCTTGGCATGTGTTGCGCACAAGCGGCACTAGTTGAACTGGCTTGATGGGCTGGTGATGTCGTTCTATTGGTAGAGAAAAAAACTACCTGCGGTGACAGTGTTGGACAAGTGTTCTCAGTCACCTTTTAAGGCAGACTGCCAAAAAGCGTTCGGCCCTGTCTGACATGTTGTTCACTTGTGCACCTGTGGGTATCAAAAGCGGGGATTATTCCATCCCGCCAACGAGCCTGGAAAGCCAGCATTGGGTGCCACTTTTCGCTTCATGACGATGTTTACAATTCTCATAATCTCGCTGCAATGATTGTGGTTATTCTCCTGAATTTTAGCATGGGGACCCTGTTTTGGGATTCCATGCCAATCAGCAGGGGAGGAGCACCAATTGTATATACATCTCAGCCGGAGTTGACTTTCAGGGCAATACAATACCCGTTTGGTCACTTGTTTTGATGGATGCTTTAATGTTCTTAAATCACTATCTTCCTCCTGGGCTCAGCCAGTGCAATGGGCCGACTTTAGTTTTACTGATGTGTCAGGATCTAAGATCCGACAAGGAGCGTGTGATGCGGGCAGTACAGATCCAGTGATTTGCATTTGAATGAAACTTGATCTGCGCAAAAGGCAGTCATCCTGGCCAGGCAACCAACACATGAAGGCACCAGCATGCAGCATGAGGCATGGGAGTGAATCAAGCAGCTACAATTCACCTCCCACGTCTGTTCGTTGTTTCTTCTTTCTTTTTTTCTTCTCCCCGTCGCTTGATTTGCCTTATGTACTTGAAGCACCTCGCATTTTGCTTCCAATGTTTGGGCGCACAGACACACAACACCTTCCAGCGAAAGTGGCATGGCCGCCAGGACGATGCAAACAATGTTAGTTTTTTGGCGAAACCGTCCCAAATAACTGGTCAATGGTCCAATGGCTGCTCACTCGCGGAGAGGTCATCCTGACGCTCTTCGCGTGGAAGCTGGCGGGGCGCTTGTCAGTGGGGCAGACAATGTTTGTCAAACTTTGACCTGCTCTCTGCGAAATTCCGAAGCGGATCCAATTTTGCACAACCCATTTAATGAGATGACTATCAGAAAGAGACAACGGCGGTATGTGAAAACCTTTCACCAGGTCCGCATTCGGTATTTCTAAGTTCCGCCACCATGCGACCCTACAAAGCGATCCGCTGATGACGGACATGTGTCTTGCTACTTACGCACACACACACACACCCACACGCACACACAACACAGCACAACGCAGCACAACACAGCGCAATTATTTTGACTATTTCCGGGGGTATGAAATCCAGAGAATGGGATCTCAAACCAAAGAAGGCCTTCAAATTGTCGGATCTTTGTTGTTCTTCTTGATCCCCTTGAATCACCGCGTTTTCTTTTTGCAGCTAGCATCAGGTGTAGCTTGGATGCTTTTGGGCCCTGCTCAGCGTGGGCCGCCCGAGGCGTACCCCAGGCATCTACACCTGGCCAGAGGGAATCACGAAACCAGGCGCGATCCGATTGTTCGATTTGGCACTGCCCCTCGATGGGGGTGCTTTCCGTGCCGAGTTCTGGCGTGCTGGCTTGTGTTATTTGTTTCTCTCTGCCGGGGGTTCGGTGTTGGGTGTGATGTTGGCGCATGTTCACTTTTCAAAGGATGGGGAGCGGGTTTTGCATATGGCGGGATCCCTTGCGCTGGTACCGCACTTGTCTGGTTTGCTAAGCATCCATCGAGAAGGGCGGGTCGATTTCACCAGCGTTGCTGTGCCACCCTCTTGGCGGTCTTGCAATGCAGCTTCGGGCCTTGACGGGCAAACTATGCCCGCACCTGGGTGACTCAAGTTTTTGTTTGTTTGTTTGTTTGTTTGCTTGCTTGTTTGTTTGCTTGCTTGTTTGTTTCTTTGTTTGCTTGTTTGTTTGTTTGTTTGCTTGCTTGTTTGCTTGTTTGTTTGCTTGCTTGTTTGTTTGCTTGCTTGTTTGTTTGCTTGCTTGTTTGTTTGCTTGTTTGTTTGCTTGTTTGCTTGTTTGTTTGTTTGCTTGTTTGCTTGTTTGTTTGCTTGCTTGTTTGTTTGCTTGCTTGTTTGTTTGCTTGCTTGTTTGTTTGCTTGCTTGTTTGCTTGTTTGCTTGCTTGTTTGTTTGTTTGTTTGTTTGTTTGTTTGTTTGTTTGCTTGTGTGTTTGCTTGTTTGTTTGTTTGTTTGTTTGTTTGTTTGTTTGTTTGTTGGTTTGCTTGCTTGTTTGTTCGTTCGTTCGTTTCTTTGCATGGTTTTCATGTTTAATTTGCGCCCCTACACGGATTCCTTTGTTGCCACATACTTGCATGTACCGTTTGTTCGGTCTGGCTGGAGACCTGCGGCCTGTATGTCAGTCCATGAACCTGGGCTTCTCACCACGCTTTTCTGCAGCGACACAAGCTGCGAGCATTGCGGCCGAGAAGCCCGTAAGAACTTCAGTGCTATTGATTGCCCCCCCCAGCCCAATATTTCTCCACCCCAACATATTTCTCCTCGGGTCCTTACCGCTGAGAAAAGACATCTTGCCTTCATCAACTGAGGGAAACCACAATCTGTTTTACGAGCCTCTGACAATGACTCCCCAATTTGGCCTTTCACCTCGCGCGAAAGGAACATGAACAAGTTGTACGGCTTCGAAGGGGAGGTCACCAAGAAGTGACCCCAGCTGCCTCTCGCCGTACCTCGCGCTACGCAAAGGCCCTCTCGCACCCTTTTGAGAAGTGTTGAACTGAAGGGAGCCACAAGCAACGCACTCATTTGCGGGGGATGTAGAAAACCGCAGTGGCAAATGACCAATCCAAAAACATCAACTCAGTGAGCAGCTGTGAGCCAGCGCGAGATGATTTGTTGAATGTTTGGGACCTCAGTCATCGCTGCGTGGGTAGACAACAGCACTCAGCATGAACTATGTTTTCGTGGGGATCCCTCACTTCAGGCCCGCAACTTTCTATGATTCGCCCACATGTCGTGGGGATTTTGCGGGGTGGGACCAGAACAAAGGCTACGCATTTGCCAGGTATGACGAAGAGTTGTACCAACTTTTCTGCGAAGCATTTTGCTTGCTACCTCTCTGCCATGTCATCAACAACCAGGCTGGACTCGGCCGAGGGTTACACCGTCTCCGGGAAGGGCCCTCCCAACACAAACAATTAATGCATGCATGCATTCATCCATCCGTCCATCCATCCATCCATACGTAGGTACATACATGCCAACGTACGTACGTGCATACATTACATGCATACATAGGCACATATGTATATGTGTGTGTGTGTGCATGGTACATAGAACACACACATATATAAATATGTATATATATATACATATATACACATGTATATGCACATATATGCACATGTATATGCACATATATATATATATATGCATCTATACATCTATAGCATATACATGCACATCCCTATTCATGTGTGCACACGCATATGTGTGCATATGTATATGTATATGTATGCATATATGTATATATATATGTATGTATGTAATGTATGCATGCATGCATGCATGCATGCATGCATGCATGCATGCATGACTACATACATACATACATACATACATACATACATACATACATACATACATACATACATGCATACATACATACATACATACATACATACATACACACACACACACATACATACATACATACATACATACATACATACATACATACATACAAACAAACAAACATACATACGTACATACATACATACATACATACATACATACATACATACATACATACATACATACATACATACATACATACATACATACATACATACATACATACATACATACATACATACATACATACATACATACATACATACATACATACATACATACATACATACATACATACACATACATACATACATACATACATACATACATACATACATACATACATACATACATACATACATACATACATACATACATACATACATACACACACACACATACATAAATACATACACACACACATACATACATACATACATACATGCATACATACATACATACATACATACATACATACATACATACATACATGTACATGTGAAGCATATGTGTATGTGTATGTGAATATGTACATATGTATACATGTATATGTGTAGGTATGCATATATGTATACGTGTCTCTATGTCTACATGTCTATGTTCATGCCTATATGTCTAAATGTCAAAATGGCTATATGTGAAAACACCTATACGCCTGCATGTCGACATGTCCACAAGTCAGTATGTCTATTTGTATCTATGTATGCATGTGTATATGTACATGCGCATGTGTGAATGTACGTAGACATGCGTATATGTCTTATATTATATACATATTAATAACCAGCTGCTCAAGTAAGCTTGTCACCCGTTTGGTTTTCTTTTGCAGTAAGCTCTGAGACATACTTGCGTATACCGCTGTGGCACCCGTGCTCAAGGCACGAGGTTCGGCCGGGTGCGGACATCGCGTGAGCGTCCGCTGCCCGAAAGCCCGATCCCGGGCCAAAGGCCTTGGCGGCCCTGGCAGACGCAGAGACGAGCCTTGGTGGGCAACGCCAGGACCTGCAATGTTGCCTGGTACTCGCGTGCCAGCAAGGTGGGCGCCCAAAGTGCTCGTCCTCCCTGCGTGTCTTGTGGAGACCGATTCTTGCAGCGCGCATTGGGGCTACGGGCGCAGAATGGTCATTTGACAAAGGTCATCTGCCATGTGCTGTCTTGCCTCAGCCTGTGGCCTCAGAGCACAGAGACATTGGTGGAGGAGCGCTGGCGCCAGGCTTTAGCGGCCATAGCCCGCTAGCCGCTTCCCCTTCGCAAGGAATTGCATTTTGCTCTTTAATATACACGTAGGCACTCTATACATGTGCACTTGAATATGCGTATTCGTGTCGGCCGAGCAGGTTTTTGAGGTGCAAGTGCATCCATCACCAAAAGCGACAAGCACACACGCGACGCGGGCTCACCTTGTTGAGTGACAAACGCACGCGCCTCAGGGAATATCCCCTTTTTTGAGAGACACTCTCTGCATTCAGCGCTGGCCGGCTTGCCCGATGTTCCGGCCTCTGAGATGTATATACATACACGTTTTCATGCAGATCAACGTCTCTGCATGCACGATTATGGGTATATGTGCAAATATGTTTGCGTGTTGCAAATGTGAATTGACATGCGCCACATGCAAAGGTACGACCAAATGTTGACATTGAACTCACAAATTGTGTGTGTCTGTAAGGAAAGCCCAACACAAACCAAGCATGTTGGGGGATGCCCTGGTTTTGGAAGTGCTCAACGGCGCAGGTCTTCGTGGTTCATGGCGGTCTCTTTTCCAAGGACTGAGAAGTCGGTGGGCGTTTGAAATTGGGCGGCGTGGACCGAGGAAGGGGTCCAATCGTGGGGAGAAGGGCTGCAGTTTGCCAATGTGGCTGTAGCAACCAATTGTCCCTTTGGGTATTAATGTTTGAACCACTGTTGGGGAAACGTGTTTTTTGGCTTGACTATGGTCGGCGGCACGCCCGCTGTGTTGGATAAGCAGGGAGACCGTTAGACACTTTCTGCGCATCAAAATCTTGTTTGTTTGCAGCCCTGCCGTGTTTGCTAGAATTATGGCTGGCCCCTTTGAGTTATTTCCGTGCCAGCTGGCAAAGCCTTGCTGTGTGGCGCAACTTAAAGGGTGTTTTTGGACACCCATGCTGGGCCCAACAAGGACCCACTGTTTTGCAAGTGTGCCTTGTGGGCCTGCATGGGCTTTGGGGAGTTTTTGACTGTTTGTTTGGGTGGCCAGTCCGGGGCCTTGAACTCCAACCGGGGAGAAGCTTCTGGGGAAACGTTCCTGCAGAATGTGGCATTGGGTACAGCGGTGAACCAAAGGGAAGCAAACCATGTCCTGCCTGCGGTCTGACTCCAAATTTTTGGGACCTCCTTCCAGTTTGCCCGCTCGCGGCGGATATCCGCCGCGCGATTCGCCTTAGGATGACGTCTCCCTAGACGCCATCCGAAAGGCGCCGTCTGGGTGATTTGGAGGATGCGGCCAGACCTGACGAGACGCGGGAACCGTTTGGTGTTACGGATGTATGAAGCGTCTCAACTGTGAATGCCGAAATAAAATGGCTTTGTGTCATGTTGAAATACTCAGGCAATGAGACCATTGGAGAGGGAACCAGGCGCTCCAACAACAGGATGCCTATTCAGATTGTGCCTTGGGAATTCTCGCCTCGGGGTGCTCTCCAACAGTATTTGTTTTAGACTTGTGAATAGACTTGTGTTTTTTTCCCCGTTCGGTTTCCCTTTAAGACCTCAAGGACCCAGTTCACGCCTTTTTGTACAGTACTTGAGACTTGCCCTTGTGAGAGTTGTTTCAATGGGAAATGGTAAGCCAAACTGCGTTAGTTCAAACACCAGGATGTTCTTCTAAGCAGGGATATTCTTGCTTTGTAACAGCCGCCTTTTTCAGGCAAGCCATGGTTGTAGATGGGACACACACTTGAAAACGCTTCATCCCGTCCATACACTGCACGGTGTGAACGTTTGCTGGATGCATGTGTTGCTCTGCTTTTTTTGGCAGATGCTTTGCAGGTGAACAGAGACTGCGAGCCTCCAGACGAGGGGCTGATGACGGAAATGCGCTTCGGCAGAAACCGGGGCGGGCCAATGGACGAAGGCAGGCACAGTAGAGCTCGGGTTTTGGAGGGAAGCCTCATACCAAAGGCAGGCGCTCGGTACCTTCCTTTCAAAAGGCCACGAGAGGCTTGGAGGCAGGTATCCTCCCCAAAAAGGTGTGGCCGCTGTCATGGGCGATGTGCTAGGCCCAAGGATACAAGACGGTTCGTTTCAAACCAGCACCCCTGAGTCAATGCCAAATAGAAAGCAACATGAAATCCATTCCCAATGTATTTAGGAAGGCTTTCTTAATGCAAGCGCAGCAAGCCACTGCTCAGCAAGCTCCCTGCTTGCGGCTTCTTGCGGTGGACAGCCGAGCTGAGCATGGCTTGTGGTCCTGTGTGAAAACCAGGGTTGGTTTCTGTTGGAAGCCATGCCACATGGGCTTAAGGATCCAAGATGAACTCATTTTGGTCCAACTTTTTTGCACTTGGGCGTATTCGCAACACGAGGACATTGGTGACATGCAAACGTGTGACAGGTTAATGCCTGGGTGCGAGCTTAGTCTTTCAATAGCATTTCAATCCCCATCGACTTCTCAGTGCATAGCCCCTTGCTTGGGGGGATGCATTTCACTTTGCAGGAGCTGCCTGCCCTCTTTGTGTTGCTGCTTGTGTCGTGCGATATTTTGAAAACACTCAGTTGATGGGGCGCCCTTTACCTTTTCGAATTTGACGAGCCTGTCCTGTCCTCGTGCTTTGTTCAGAGTCCCTGCACAACCTTCCTCAACCTCTGATTCTTGCTTTCACGCGCCACCAAATATTCGATTTACAAGGGGTTTCACGGCCCGGGCGCCAAAAATGGTTTAGGCCATTGTTTAACCCTTTGGAGGAAGAGACGCATTTTTTGCAAATGGCACTCTTGACAGTGAGACGCTACAGGGTCGTCCTGTGTCCACCACCCTGGACAAATGCCTGGGTCCCGCTTCTAAAGGTATGGGATGAAAGGGCCAAGTTGTCGCCGACAGAATACAATAGGACAAAGCCTGGGGTACGTTCGTTTGCAGCTGCTCCGACATTCCATTCCCACGCCTGCCGTGGGAGCCCGAAGCATGAGTTGCTTTTTGGGATTTGGCAACACGTCTATACATATATATATATATATATGGTACAGCGTTGCCAGCCCCCCCCCCTCCCCTGGTCATGGGTCAGGCAAGTACCCCCCCCCCCCCTGTGGTTGTGGTCCTGTGGTTGGGTTGTGGTGGTTTAGGGTTGGTTTAGAATTGGTTTAGGGTATATTTAGGGTGTATTTAGGGTTAGTTTAGGGTTGGTTCAGGGTTGATTTAGGTTGATTTATGTTGATTTAGGGTTGGTTTAGGGTTGGTTTAGGTTCAGAGGTGTACGGTCGGTTTAGGGTTTGGTTTAGGGTGTATTTAGGGTTGGTTTAGGGTTAGTTTAGGGTTGGTTTAGGTTTAGGGTTTATTGTTTAGGGATTGGTTTAGGGTGTATTTGGGGTTAGTTTAGGGTTGGTTTAGGGTTAGTTTAGGGTTGGTTTATGTTGATTTAGGGTTGGTTTAGGTTTCGAGGTCTACGGTTTAGGGTTTGGTTTAGGGTGTATTTAGGGTTGGTTTAGGGTTAGTTTAGGGTTGGTTTATGGTTGGTTGCGGGTTGGCTTGTCCTGGGGGTGGGGGTGCCGGGGTGTCGGGGTGCGAGTTCAGGGGGTCGGGGTGGGGGTGGGAGATCCGGGGGCTCGGGGTCTCGGGCCGGGGGGGTCCTGGGGGACCATACCATATGGGGGGGGGGGGGGTATATACATATATGTATGCATACATATATATATATATATATATGTATATATATATATATATATATATGTATGCACGGTTGCTCATTCTGGGTGTCATCATCCTCTTCACTTACTTGAATGAAGGAAAATTGTGCCATCTACTTTGACCCTGGTGTGCCTCAAATCAATTGGTTGATTTGCTTGCCAAGCCGTTTACTTCCACATGATTGCCAGAGACCCCTCAAACCCTCCCACAAAAGCCACGCCACACGGTTGGGCTGCATAGGGCTTGGGGACAAACAACTTTCTGGACTACCGGCCGGGTATTCAGCAGCACACAGGCACAACCGCCTGCAAATCACAGGCTAAAGTGGCTCTGTTGACTACCAGGACCTTGAAAGGCCTTAGTTGGCATTGTTTGCGTTCACGGACTGGACACCGTCCCACCGATTTCGGCCTTTTTTGCACCGCTGGGCTGGGGTGGGGTATGGGGGTGGGGGCAAGGATCATCTTCGTACGGGAACGGTTTGCACCCGTCCAAGGCTGTGGAGTGATCCCCAGCCGGGCCGAGGCCATGAACCTGGGCCAAGTGAAATGAGGTGTCACCAGTTTCCAGCAAAGCGGTTGACTTACGTCTCTATGACGACTTTTTGAGCTGCCTTTTGATTGCACTTGGTGCCCGGCAATGTTTGCCCCTGAGTATTTTCGCGACACAGAACATGCAAGGCTTTGGTTCTGAGAACTGTCTGTTTCAAGGGACCCTCTGCCAGGTTCCTTCTGTGAGCAGGTGGGCGGTTGAAACCTTTTCCTCAGCTGATCTTTTGCTTGCTTCAGGTTGTGTTTTCCGTTTGATTTCAGATACATGCGCATCATGCTAATAAGAGGGGTCCATCAAACCCCGAAACACATGGATCCATCCTTCCACTAAAAGGGAACCACCCCAATGTGGAGTGTTCTGAACATTTGAATCATTTAAGCAAACACCAGACTTTGATCGGGGTGGCGTTGTTCTTTTGTTGCCATTGCATCCGTGGTGATCTGTGTGTCTGCGACGCTGCAGACGTCCATGGCACTTTTTGGAGGGAGAGTCCGAGAGCCCCTGCGTGCTGATGGGGAAGCTGACTAGTGTTGGGTATGGCTTTTGCTTTGGTTTGCTGCCTGACTCTGTCTTTGATCTGGATAAGGGTTTTCTAGTGGATTTCAGTTTGGTATCCTTTCGGTCTTAGGCTATTTTGTCAGGAAGTGGTTTGGCAGCAGCTCTGTTCGCCTGTTTTTGGATTGTTCGCTGGTTTGTTGGCTTGTTTTGTTTGTTCGTTTATTGCTGTTGTTTTCGTTTCTTTTTGCCCTTTTGCTGTTGTTTTTTGCTTGTTTTTTTTTGTGTTTGTTCGGGCTGGTTTGGGCCGGTTTGCGCTTGGTTTTGGTTTTGATCTGGATTGGCCTTAGTTTGGTCTAGTTTGTCTCGGCTTTTTGGCGTTGTCTACTTTGGGTTTTGGTCAGCCCGTCGCCAATGTTGGGGGGATCTAAAGGTTGTCTTTGCTTTGGGTTCTGAGGGCTCTGAATTGCTGTCCCAACGCAATTTCCAAGAGAGGGATTCCAATGGAGGGGTCTCCACCAGAAGACTGTCCGAAGGCATAGGAAATGGCTAACGGCCCAATTTCCCGAAACCCGCTGGCAAAGGTCGGAAATTCAGTGGTAAGTGGGAAGTTGATGCCAAGATCCATGTGGAGGATTGTGGCTCTGAACGAGTTCGTGTCTCGAAATCGCCTTTCCCTTCACAAGATTCTCTTTCGCTGTCCTTTCAAAATTAGTTGACACAGGATTATTCTCAGAGAGCTTGGGACAACTCTGTGTGTTTTTGGTTTGGGCTCTTAGCTCTTAGCTTACGTGTGCAAGTCCAACAGTTGATTCCTTGTCCGCGATTCTGTGGTTTGCTTGTCATGGTGTCTTCACCAGCTGGCCGCAGGAATCATGTGCATAGCGTAGAGCCAATTGCCAGAACTGATTCAACAGGTCACCTAACTGATAGGTGCAAGTGCCAACCTCACACGGGTCCTGGCCAACAGGGCACCCAAAACGGGAGCTTGTGGTGTCCGCATTGCTTGCTCCAGCTGCACCCGGTGTCAGAACTCTCGCCAGGCCGCATGCCCTCCAAGCGAGGCGTCGGCGTGGCCTTTGGCCAGGACTCATTGACTGGGCATGGCTCGGGGAAGGCGGCGATCCGTTGGTTGTTGTTTTGTGTGTTCTTCTTGCTTGATGTCCTGAACTTTGCTTTTTTGAGTAAGGCAGGGAGGAGGGGAGGAGCAGAGGAGGAAGGGAGGAAGGGAGGAAGGGAGGAAAGGAGCCCCTATTTTCCGAGAAGCGAAAGCATCATTGGCTGGGGCAGTCAAATTCAGGCGTCTTGGGTGTCAGAGCTGATGTCACGTCTTCCGGTGCTGTGACTGCCGTATCTCTGTGCCTCTATCCCTCTATTCCTCTATCTTATCTCTGTCGTATCTCTCTGTCTTATCTCTCAATCTTATTTCTCAATCTTTTCTCAATCTTATCTCCCTGTTTGTTGTCAGTTTCTCTCTTTGTCTTTTTGTCTTTTTGTCTCTTTGTGCATTGTCTCTATCTTTGTTCCTCTCTATGTCTCTATGTCTCTATGTATCTATGTTGCTATGTCTCTATTGCTCTACCTCTTTCTCTCTATGTCTCCGTATGTCTCTGTCTCTATGACTCTATTTCTCTACCGCTTTGTCTCTATGTGTCCGTGTCTCTATGTTTCTACGTCTGATTGTCTCCGTGTCTCTATCCGTCATGTGTCTATGTCTTTACGTCTCTGTTTTTTGTTTTTTTTGGGCATATTTTTCTCTCTTTCTCTCTCTCTCTCTCTCCCTCTCTCCGTCTTTTTCTTCTTGTCTGTCTCTTTTCGTTGTCTTTTTCTCCGTCTCTTTCTTGACCGTTTCGTTCTGTTGCTTTTGCTCCATCTTCTTATTGTCCGTATCAGTGTCGTTCTTTTTCCGTGTCTCATTCTTCCTGTGCTCTTTCTCCGTCTCCTTCTTCTTGACCGTCCCTTTCTCTTTTGCTATGTTTTTTGCTTTCTCTTTCTCTTTGTCTCTCGCTCGCTTGCTCGATTTGTTTTTCTCTTTGACTGGTACGCTTTGTTCTGACTTTTCCAGAGCCCGGAGTCAGTTCCAGGACGCATGTCCTTTGCTCCAGGCAAAGCGCACATACATACACACACACACACCCTTTGAGGCTAATGGCGAAATGAGTTTCTTGTGGAACTCGGGCGCCTTTGTGAGGCTTTTCTTTGAAGGGGGTCGATTCCTAGCTTCCACGCAAGCGCACACACGCACACAGAGTTGTTTGGTCCAGGATGTCACTGAGAACTTCTTGAAGGTGAACAATCTCAAGATGGTCATCCGCCCCTTGCCGTGCAAAATCTAGCAATGGCAAAGCAAGCCAGTTTTGCGGACTTAAGCTTGAGTTTGTGGCTGTGGCCGGTGAAGTGTCGTGTAGTGCAAGCAGATATGCCACATGGCAAGATCTACCAGCCTGCCTTCTCCATTCTCCAGAGCTGCAACCCCACACCGTCGATTACTGTCATGAAACTTACGCAGCATAACAAGCTAGGCACAAGCTAGAACTCAGCATGTTGAACACCATGAGTTTGATTGGCACACATGCCAATCGGACGGATTTCAAGATCCCAGAAAGACACGTGCCAGCCGATGAGGCGTGTCGCTCCTCGCCTGCAGCAGCGCAGAACCTCATGTAAGATTCAACATGTTCCATGTACCCCACAATTCATTTGGGAGGGACATACGAGAACTCACTAAATTTCACACAATTGCCATGGGACTCCCCAATCTTCCCATGTCCTCTTGAAGGCACCAGTAATTTTGACATGGCTTCTGTGAATCACCGTCCCTGTTTGAGAATTCGACCAAGCTGCACCCACCTGTCAGTGGGACGTCTTCGCACCCCAGGCAGCCATGAGATGAAGGAGGAGGGTGCGGCACTCGAAGTTTGAGAAAGGTCAGACATGGGTTTCAGGGCCAGCTGTGAGGCAAGGGAATCTGCTTCAAGGTGATAACTTCGTCATGGGAATGAGAATGCTGCTTTGGTTTAATTTTTTGAATGTTCCTGGGATGATCTGGTAGAGTTCATTTTCGATCTTGGCTTTTTCGGCCAGGCCACAACTACATCTGAATGTAATGACGGTGCATGACTTTAAGCCCTGTTCCGGAATGTCTCAAGATTTGGCCATCTCTGGCTGGATGGTCTGAGAGAGAGAGAGAGCGCCACGAGGGGGCTCAGATCTTTGCATATCTTGTCTTACATGTCAGACTTTTGGAGTCAAACATTGCAAATGGGTTTCCATTTGGATGCTTCAAGCCCTGGCTACGAGCTATGGGTTCGAGTCACAAGAGACTGGAGTGCATTCAGTCACCGGAAGGGCAGTTCACGCGGGTAGGAACCGGTAAGTTGCCAATTTCCAAGTCTTCCAAGTCTGCCGATTTGCACTGCAAACCCTGGCAAGCTCACTTCTTTGTAGCCTTCGCAACCAATCTACAATTCTTCCAAGGGTATGAGTCTGCCTGCCTTGGCAGTCGCCAAATCGGACACCCTGCCAGTAGCCAGTCTATAAAGAATCGTCAAACTGCGAGTTTGCAGCAATCTGAAGCCCAAAACATCCAGCGAGTAAAGCCAAGCCTGGCCAAGATGTGAACAAGCAGATGGCTCCCATTGAAAGGAAGCCGACGTTGGCGTAGTGGTTTTCGCTATGTTTGAACAGAGGCCCAACCTGTCAAAACCGACCGTTTTCCAACACGAGCGCGTTTCGCCTTTGAAAGGGGTTCCGACAAGGGGGGTTGTCCAAGATTACTGGCCCCGAATTCATTTTCTACCACATGGTTATTTCCCAACACCGATCACTCTTTTGTC